GAAAAATTGTCATAACGAACACAGCCACGTGATGCTCAACCGACTAGCCAAAACCGCCGTTACAGTCGCTGTCTCACCCAGCAGTTTGAGGCGACTTCAGCAGCCACCATATGGTATGTGGCTACACAGTGAACGAGGCGAAGGATGAATAACCGACTGGACATCAGATGATGGTATGTACTCTTGCTACGATGCTAAACAGCAGGGTACCTTCAGATCAATCATATGGAAGATATCATATCAAAGTCCGAACCTCTGTTTCTTCTCAGAAGGCAGTAGACCGTTCCACTCCCTGCCTCCAAAACTGTGTGTGGATTCTTTCCTACAAGCCAATATCACCCTACCGTGTTTCGAAGAGGCATTCAGGCACCGCTTATTGAATCCACTCCACTGCCGCACTGGAACTTTCGAAAAGTAAACTGAATAACGAATAGTGCAGAAGTAGACGGCTGTACCCAACGGTTGAGACTATACCGCAACCTTTCGTGCGAGTATCGAACTGTGCTGCGGCAAACAACATCTCTCATAGGAAAACAGGAAGATCTACACTAACTGTTTGTCGAATGAGACAAAGGGCTTGACTGAGAATGCTAATGCCGAGAATCTCCTGACACTGCGACTGCTTTCACTGAATTTCTGAATTCAAGGCTGCAGAGATCGTGAGGCGCTTTACTTCACACACTCGATCTGCAAAGCATGGGTACTACTGTGCTAACTTTTCGCCGCTGAATATATAAAACAGCGACCTACGAAAATCTCTGGCAACTCCGTCTCTGCTCCTTTCGCAAGGCGTCCAAAAAAACCCTAAAATATCGATAGATAAGGCTACGATCAAGACCGTGGAGAAAAAATATTTTTAAAACCATAGCACTTGTACAGAAAAACATTTTATCCATCTCTTACACTTTAGAGAAAAGCTGCTGGCGTAGATGGGATTTCCCCCAGAATTTCCTAAGAATATGCATCAAAAGGGCTGACAGTGGCTGGCCTCTCCTTCACAGCGATCCACACAATAAGATAGGTTTTTCCGTTTAATGTCGTGCCAAAGTTATCGCCCTGTTAAAGCTAGTAAAACCTCCTGAGGCCAAACAGCTGCAGGCCTATCCTTGCTCTGCATAACCAGAAAAGTCATGGAAAGAACTTTGTCATCAAGGCATTCCAACAGAATAGAAGCCACCTTCCCTGTAGAATCAGCAGCTTTTGCGTATTAAGCTGATCGAGGAATTTCAACGGAAAGAAAAAACATAGGTGGTATTGATCGACCGATCATCAGATTATATGGTCTGGCGCCATGGCTTCGTGTGCAAAGTTTCTAAAGTAACCAGCTCTCGACAGTCCACCTTATCGCAGTCACGATTAGCGACCGCTAGTAACGGGATGGGTCAATAAAAATTATCCTTAACAACAGGTTGCTACAAGTTTCAGTACTTCATCGTTATTTAACATATATACCCACAACCGAAAATACCAACCAGCAGAAGCTAAGCTGCATACTCGCGGCGGATTTCGCTATTCTGCCGCAACATTTTCATCAGTGGAAGCTACATCCAAACCGGACCAAGACTATGACGACGGTCTTCCAGCTTGACAACCGACTGAGAAAAGAAAAACTTACAGTTAAGTTCTGTGATCAAAGCGTGCAGCATGAAATTACGCCAAAATACCTAGGATTCCTTCTTGATAGAATCCTCACGTTTAAG